ACTTCACAAGAAAAAGTAGAACCATAAAAGTAAGGGGTTGGTGAAAGATAAGAAATATAAGCACAACCATAAAAGTGACCATCTCGACCACCACACATATCACATACATTCACACATAAGATTGAGTTGGTGCACATAACTTGCTCTCGGGAATATTTTAACTATTTTGACCCAGGTGGTTTCCGCCACAATTCACACAAGGAAGATCAACAGTAGAATTACCATCATCAAAATTCACATAATTCCAGGATGCCATGTTTCTCAAATTAACAAGTAAAACAAATATAAAAAAATCAAATACAACAAAACAAAAATACAAGTTCAAAACTTGTAATCTAGCAATATGTACACCTATAGCTACACCGTTAGTTCCCCGGCAACGGCGTTAAAATTTGATCACGCCCAACTCTAGTCCTAAAAAGGATAAGCGGTCGCTGCAAATATAATCCGGTCTAAAAGTCCGGAGTCGAATCCCACAGAGAACTAAGGCTTAGCTATAGCTGTTTAATATCACTAAGAAGACAAGTTTGAACAATTTTCTAAATTATAAAGATTGAGATTTATATGTCTAACTAATTAACTAGCAAATACCAGAAAGCGATAAAATTATCAACTAATGAGACAAAGGGTTGGAGACGAAATTATGGAGGTCTAGAGTTATGATTTCCCCAATTGTCGGAGTCCTTCCAGCTATGTTTCCTATAATTTCGCCTAAGTATTCTCTACTGATCGTGAGTATTTTGGTTGTCGTAATTCTCTCTCAAGCAACTACCCCAATTTACTAAATGTATTCTCTCGAACTACACTAGCTGGCACTTAATTCACCGCTCATTACGATTGCACCAAGGTTTCGTTATCTCTAATCCCGCCCTTAAACCCTCTGTATTGATCTCTCACACACGTTAGGAGTGATGTTGTTCAACAACTACCTAAATATGTACTCTCTCTCTCTCTCTCTCTCTCTCTCTCTCTCTCTCTCTCTCTCTCTCGAGCAGTACACACTAAATAAGAACAGTCAAACTGATGGCCATTCAATCAACAGCAGCAAACACGTAGTTGAACAAGTAGAGAAATCCAACGACTCAATTATATAAAACATAACAAGAATTTATCCTCCAAAAGGTTCCATCAAAACCCTAGATTATGGGTTTAGCTACTCATACTAATAGATAAAATTCACTATAGAAAGTCATAATCAATAATGGAATTAAGAAGAAGATGAAAACTCTTAGGGAAATTCTCTGTCTTCCTCCGGTGTTCTTGCCTCCAAAATCTCTCTAAAAACAGCTCCATCTCTCTTTTGGGCGAATTCGGCTTCATATAGGTCTAGGTGAGTCGCCTTAGAAATTACATAATTGACCCTGGATTATTGGTCTCCATCAGCCCGTCTGTGGCCGAGGATTTGACCGCGGATCTGGCCGCGGATTTCGCCCAGTGTTCTGCCTTCAGTGCATGGCTGCGCGGTCAATTCGCGGCCGCGCACCTGGAGGGGACTTCGCCGCTTGCTTTTCTTTCTCCTTTTCGACCGTGCTAACCTCCGATTGGCCTTTCACACTCCATATTAACTCCAACACACTCTTTAGCTTCCTCATAGCTCGGAGTGGCTCCTGCAAAGCATAAAACTCTTAATTAGAGCATTTTGTTATCTTTTAGCATTCAAACATTGATAAAGTGCGGCTAAATTAGAGTTTAAATAGTATATAAATTGTATAATTATAGCCTACTATCAAATATTCATGAATCATGATATATAGACCAGTTTTGCTTGTTTTTGGTGGCAATCAGGCCAAAATATTGGTGACTTAAAGCCTCTAGAAAGCTAGGTCACACCCTTATTCAAGCTCGTTTCTATTTTATCTTATTTTGTGTTTTTGTTGGCCTTTTAGGAGAGGGCTCTTATTTAAATAGAAATTTATGAGAAAAAAATAGTAATAGTAATAGTAATAGTAATAGTAATAGTAATAGTAATAGTAATAATAATAATAAGAACAACAACAACAACAACAACCTACCCTTAGGGTAGGGGGGCCACCGGCCCCCTGTAATTTTAAAAAAAGAATGTATGTGTGTGTGTATATATATATTTGATGGCCACCATAAAACTTAAAACATATATTTTGATGGCCACCATAAAACTCAAAACATAGACAGCTACATTGGTCGATTTGGGAGAGGAGGGGAGAGACACAACTTGACCTTTTGTCACGACCCAAACTACCAAGCCGTGATGGCGCCTATCGTGGTACTAGGCTAGCCAACTTGTTACTCAAAAACACAATGTTTCATTTCAAAAACATTTACTTTCAAGCTATATAGCGATAAATCCTTCATAAAAAATTTAAACAAGCAAAGTACGGAAATAAAAGCCCGGCATGGGGTGTCACTTATCATGAGCATCTTCGATACATGTCTGATAATACTAGGACCAATACAGTCTGGAAATCTAATAAAATGGCTAGTAGGAAGATAGGAGGGAGAAGGGCAAGGCTGCGATCGCCATGCAGCTACCTTGCTAACTCCAAAGATCCGCGGTGGATGAATCAACACTCGCTCGAACGTCTAGTAACACTTGGATCTGCACACAAGGTGCAGGAGTAACATGAGTACGCCAACTCAATAAGTAACAACCATAAATAAAGGCTGAGTAGCAGTGACGAGCAGTATAACACATAAGGATCATAGTATGAAATCTCAGTGAAACAGTATGCTTTAAATTCAGTATTTGAGTCAAATCATCTCGTAAAATTTCAGTTTTGGTGAAAAACATTTATAGATATTTTTCAACGGTTTCAGTAGAGGCTCAATGCAAAATAGAGTGAAGATAATGAAGTCATAAACAGCCCATCGGTCAAAATATCACTCATAAATAGCCCCTCGGGCAAGCCTCACAGTCACTCATAAACAGCCCCTCGGGCATACCTCACAAACACTCGTAACAGCCCCTCGGGCATACCTCACAACCACTCATGCCTCCCAGTCACTCGTCACTCGGCGCTCGACACTCGAACTCAGTAGGTACCTGCGCTTACTAGGGGTGTGTACAGACTCCGGTGGGGCTCCTTCAGCCCAAGCGATATAACAAGACAAATCATGGCGTCAATCACTCAGGCCCTTGGCCAATAATAAACATGCTGCGGCGTGCAGCCCGATCCCGTATAATATCCTCAAAAATCAGGCCCTCAGCTTCACTCGGTCATAAACCTCACAAGCCAGTCGAGCATTTCAGTAAAATCAAGAAACTCAGCCCAAAACAACACTTATGTACATCAAAAAAGAATAATAAAACTGAATTATGCAGTAAATAGGCAAAATCATGACTGAGTATAGATTTCAAATCAAAACAGTGAGAGGATAGTAAGAAAATGCCCCTGAGGGTCCAAATAGTAGTGGCACAAGGCCCAAACATGGCATTCAAGCCAAGTTATAAGAATTCTTTCTAAACAACATAGATATTATATAGCTTTCAACAAAATACGCAACTCTATAGTTGCCACGAGACGGACCAAGTCACAATCTCCAACGATGCACGCCCACACGCCCATCACCTAGCATGTGCATTACCTCAAAATAGTAAAAATGATACGAAATCTGGGGTTTCATACCCTCAGGACTAGATTTACAATCGTTACTTACCTCGAACCGGACAAAACTCTAACCCGCGATACTCTTGCCTCTCGACTCGGCCTTCAAATGCTCCGAATCTATCAAAAATTAGTATATTATCATCAATATACGCTAAAGGAATGAATCCCACATGAAAATTATCAAATTAGACCAAAAATCCTGAATTTGGTTCAAACCCAGGCCCCGGGACCACGTCTTGAAATTTGACAAAAGTCACAAAACTAAAAAGCCCATTCACTCACGAGTCCAACCATATCAAATTTATCGAAATCCGACTTCATTTGACCCCTCAAATCCCCAAATCAAACTCTCCAATTACCAAGTCCCCTCAATTTCATCCCTAATTTCTACTAGTTACATGCTTAAACAACTGAAAATTACAATAACCATGAGTATTAAGCTCAAATAACTTACCTCAATGTAAACCCCGTTGATTCCCTCTTCAAAACTCTCCAAAAAGCTCTAAAAACCGAATAGAAATTGTGAAGAATGACCAAAAATTCGATAAGTGTTCCTTATACACCTTCTGCCCAGGGATCTCGCACCTGCGGCCCACTTTCTCGCATTTGCGTGACCGGACCTGCGGTCCTAGCGCCGCACCTGCGAAAATCACTTATCCGCCCAAACATAGCATCTGCGTATCATCCTTCGCACCTGTGGGCTCGCAGGTGCTGCCAACTTTCGCACCTGCGCTGAAGGCCCAGCCTTCCAACTTCTGCATCTGCGACTCCCTTTCTACACATGCGACCTTCACACATGCGCTCCCTTTCCGCAGGTTCGGAACACCAGAAGAATTTGCACCAGCAGATTTTCAGCAGCTCTTCAATAACAAAAACCCATCCGCTAACCATCCGAAATACTCCCGAGGCCCTCGGGACCTCAACCAATAATACTAACAAGTCACATAAACAAGATACGAACTAAGTCGAGCCTTCGGAACACTCAAAACAACATCAAATCAACCTCGAATTCAAGCCTAAGAATTTCTAAACTTCAAATTTTTGCAAACGACGCCGAAACCTACCAAACCTCGTCCAGATAACCTCAAAATTTGCACACACATCACAAATGACACTACGAACCTACTCCAACTCCCGGAATTCCATTCCGATTCCGATATCAAATATTCCACTGCCAACCGGAAATCACCAAATTTCCAATTTGGCCAATTCAAGCCTAATTCTACCACGGACCTCCAAATTACTTTCTGAACACGCTACTAAGTCCAAAATCACCTAACGGAGCCATCCGAACCATAAAAACCCCAATCCGAGATCATTTACTCATAAGTCAATATCCGGTTGACTTTTCCAATTTAAACCTCTAAATAAGAGACTAAGTGCCATTAATTCTTTGTCACAAAGCCTCAGATTCTAATGCATGCGGAGGGATATTGTATTTTCCGATTTAACACCATAGCTGATAGAGATCAAGTCCTACAATCAGGACCTTACTCGTATAGGAACAAACCTATGGTACTGAAACTATGGGAAGTAGATTTTTCATTAAGCAGTGATGTTCTCAGTACAATCCCTGTATGGTTTAGGTTTCCTGGACTGCCAGTGGGATTCTGGTCGACTGAAGCTCTTAGTAAGATGGCTAGTGCAATTGGTAAACCATTGTACACTGATAAATTTACTGCTCACTTTGAGAAGATATCTTATGCTAGAATACTTGTGGAAATTGATGCTGCTTATCCCTTACCAGATCAGATTGAGATAGAAACACCTTATGGTCCAAAGATACAGGCAATTGAGTATGACTGGAAGCCTAGTTTCTGTAATGATTGCCTAAAATTTGGACATGATACTATGGATTGTTGGTATAACACAAAATGTGAAGCTGTACAGGGGATAAAGGAAAGGGATGGGAAGGAAATACAGAGAAATAGAGGAAAAAAGCAGGGGAGAAATGTGAGGCAGACCTGGATAGTTAAGCAACCACAAGTGAATGCAGATAATCAGGAAAATGAGATGACAGTACAGGAAATTGCGCAAGTGGTGAGCAATGTAGCAAGGATGAATGATAGCAAGGAAAGGACACAACAGGCTACTTATGTGTCAACTGATCAACAGGAGACTATTTGTAAGAATGCTGAGATGCAAAAGCAGATTGAAAAGGGCAAAAACATAGAGATAAATGAGATGGAAGGAAGCAGTGGTCAAAAAATTGATCCAGGACCACCAGACCCTCAAATACACAAATGATAATTGCTACATGGAACATTGGGGGGCTTAATCAAGCCCACAAGCAAAAAGAGGTGAAAACTCTTATTGCTGCAAATAAAGTAGATATTATGGCATGTAGAGAAACTAGAGTAAAGGAGCAAAAAGCAAAGAAAATCCAAAAAAAGATAGCTAATGGGTGGAGTGTGTGCTGTAATTACTCATGTGCTGTAAATGGTAGAATCTGGCTATTGTGGAGGAATCCTATTCAAGTGATAATCAGTCATATGACTGATCAATTTATCCATTGCAAAGTTGAAGACCATAGAACTCAGTTCAAGGCTCAACTTAGTATTATCTATGCACAGAATGATGGGCACAAGAGGGAAAGTTTATGGAGGGATCTGAGGCAAATTAATATCTCAAATTAGGAGGTATGGCTATTGAGTGGTGATTTTAATAATGTTCTATCATCAGAAGATAGAATAGGATCTCCAGTTACTGCTGCTGAAGTAGAGGGATTTAAAGGGATGATAGATGATATGCAACTTACCCCTCTGAGGGCAAAAGGGTGGCATTATACTTGGACAAATAAACAAGGAACTGGGAGTAGAGTGTATAGCAAGATTGACCGGGCACTAGGAAATTATCAGTGGATTCAACAATATGGGCATGTGGAAGCAGACTATATGAATCCTTCTGTATCTGACCATTCTCCTATTCTTATAAAGTGTGGCAGCCAGAAACTACTACATCCTAAACCTTTCAGATTATACACAAATGTTATGGACCATCCTCAGTTTCACAATATAGTTCAGCAAACATGGCAAAAGAAGTATGAAGGAATACCTATGCAGAAGATATGGTACAAACTAAAGAGTCTAAAAGAGCAGCTTAAGGTGATTAATACTTACATGGCTTCCTACAGACAGAAACTTGATCAGGCAAGAGAAAGATTGGACATTGTGCAAAACCAGATGAAGCAGAATCCTTTGGCACAGTCTCTTATAAATGAAGAGAAAGAAGTAATAAGTGAAATAGAAAAATGGAGTAAAGTGGAGGAACAAGTACTGAGACAGAAATCAAAGGCCAGTTGGATTGAATGTGGAGATGATAATACTAAATACTTTCATGCACAATGGAAGATTAGGGCCAGCCAAAACAATATAACTACCATTTACACATAAGCAGGGGTGAAATTAACAGAAGCTAGTCTTGTTGAGAAGGAATTCATCACTGTTTTTCAGTCCTTAATGGGTGAGAGTGCTGGAGAACTACCATGTGCAAACACAACTGTAATAAAGGAAGGACCATGCTTAAATGTGGAGCAACAAAGAACATAGATCCAAATGGTTACAATAGAAGAGATTGCTGAAGCAGTCAAAGACATGCCTAAAGACAAAGTACCAGGGATTGATGGGTTCCCTGTGGAATTCTTCACAAAAAACTGGGAGGTTGTGAAATAGGATATTTTTGAAGCTGTTAAAGATTCTTCAATACAAACAGACTACCTAGTGTGATTAATACAACAACAATCACACTGGTGCCAAAAGTGAAAGTCCCAACAACAGTGAAGGATTATAGGCCAATTGCTTGCTGTACTACCATGTATAAAATCATCTCTAAAGTCATCACAAGGAGGATAAAAGGTGTGCTTGAAGGACTGATCGATCAGGCACAATCAGCCTTTATTGAAGGAAGGAGTATAGTGGATAATATTCTGCTAAGTCATGAGTTATTCAAAGGATATGCTAGAAAAGGAGTTTCTCCCAGATGTGTGCTAAAAGTGGATCTAAGGAAAGCATATGACACTTTGGAATGGAACTTTCTAAAGCAGATACTTATAGATATTGGATTCCCCTGCAAATTTGTACAATGGATAATGACTTGTGTTACTACAGTGTCATATTCATTGGTGCTTAATGGGGGACTGACTAAACCTTTTAAGGGGAAGAGAGGGATTAGACAAGGAGATCCAATGTCTCCTTACTTATTTGTTCTTGCTATGGAATATCTAAGTAGAGAGCTAAAACAGTTGCACAAGAATGGGAACTTTAATTACCATCCAAAGTGTAGAAAGCTGAACAGCACACATATGTGCTTTGCTGATGATTTGCTGCTGTATTGTCGAGCTGATATGGAGTCCATAAGGATCCTAAACAAGGCTTTTTACAGGTTTTCACAAGCTTCTGGATTGCAGGCAAATGCAAGTAAAAGTGCTATCTACATGGCTGGGATAGATCAAAAGACTAGAGAGGAAATCCTACAAACACTGGGATTCAGTGAGGGCAAATTACCTTTCAGATACTTGGGCATCCCATTAGACTCAAAAAAGTTAACTATTGCTCAATACTTGCCACTGGTGGAAAAGATAATAGCAAAAGTTACTTGCTGGTCAGCAAAGTTTCTCTCCTATGCAGGAAGGTGTCAACTTATAAAGGCAGTTATCTTTGGAATACAGACATACTGGGCACAGGTATTCATCATCCCAAAGAAGGTCCTGAAATTGATAGAAGCCATATGCAGGACATTCCTATGGACAGGTAATGCAACTATCTCAAAGAAGGCATTAGTAGCTTAGGAAAATGTATGTAAACCAGTGGCAGCTGGGGGACTCAATATAATAGACATCAAGGCATGGAATAAAGCAGCTATTACTAAGCACTTATGGGATCTAACTAGAAAGAAGGATTGTTTGTGGATTCGATGGGTTCACAGTTACTATATAAAGAAGAGAGACCTGGACACAATGCCTATTCCTAAGGCAGCAGCCTAGGTAATAAGAAAGATATTTGATAGCAGGGGAGAGATTATGGGGCAGCAGCAACTTCAGGGGACCTTGCACGATAGATTAAAGAGTCTATGCAAGAGTGGGAAATATCAAATTAAACAGATGTTCCTGAAGATGATACCAGACTATTGCAAAGTGGAATGGAAGGGCTTAATGTTACACACAAGTATACATCCAAGATACAGATTCATTTTATGGCTTGCAGTACAAAAGAGGCTAGCAACAATTGATAGATTGCTGAAATTTGGAATCCAAGTACCAGCAGAATGTATTTTTTTCAAGAATGGATCAGAAACTTTCAACCATTTGTTTTTCGAGTGTCCAGTTACAAGCAGATTGTGGGCTAAACTATGCCATTGGCTGGGACATAAAAGGAGCATAGGTGACTGGGAATGTGAGCTGGAATGGATAAACAAGAAAGCAAAGAGCAGAGCAGGTATCAATAGCATAGCATGTTGTGTGTTTGCCATGACAGTTGCAATGATATGGAGAGAAAGAAACAAAGGCAGATTTGAGGATGGCAAATATGATGAATATCAAATATGTAAAGAAATAATCCTGCATATTCATGTTCGAGGGCAGAATAACAAGAAGTGGAGAGCACTGCTGCAACAATTGAACTGGATTTCATGAAGAACACAAGTATAGATAGGAAAGAATGTATAGAAATGATACTAGTGTCTGTATTGGTAGATATAGTGTTAGACACTTCGATATCAAAGGCATAGAATACTGATGTAAAGTAGTAGTAAGTCAAACTACTACTAGGAACAAATTGTAACATTTTTGAGTATCAATGAAATATAATTTTAACTAAAAAAATAAAATAAGAGACTAAGTGTCTCATTCCACTCCAAAATCACTCCGGACCCGGACCAACCAACCCGATACAACACAATAAAGCTAAATACTACATAAAGAAGCAGAAATGGGGGAAACGGGGCTATAACTCATGAAAGGACTGGCCGGGTCATTTTTGGTCCGCTGTCTGGGCTCGGTTCCCACACCAGCGTTCGCTCAAATTGTTATTCGATAGTGGTGCCCCTGCCACTTTCAAATCCAAGGTCCATCTCTAACAACGACAACAACACCAACAACAATCACATATCAGTACAACGTTAAATACAAACCTACCGGGGGTTGTTTAGTATGGTGTATAAGAATAATACTGAATATGCTGTATTAGTAATGCTAAAATTAATAATACTGGGATTTGTTATATTAACATGTAAGTGTACAACCGGATAAACATTAAACTATGACCTCATGATAGGAGCTATGATTCTTCTTATCCATGGAAATAGCAAACAAGAACGTGTCAGCAAGCGAAGAAAAGACAAAAGCATATGATCATCCATCACTATGCTATTTTGGCTTATAACTGTAGTTCATTTAGGATATAAATTCTATCTAATCTTGCATGCAATACTCCCTCAAGCAAAATTTACTTTACGCATTTTATTTTTTGTTTTTATTTTTCCTTAGTGATAATTCACTTTATATAGTTACAAACTTAAAATCAAACCTAAATGCTGCAATTTAAGTCTATAATCTCGAGGAAAATTGATTTCGTGCAAACTCGAGTATATTTTTTTACGGTAATATAAATTCTATCAATGCAATATGATATGAGAAGTAGAAAAAAGTCTGAATTACACGCATTTTCCAAACAATGCAATGCCTTTTCTCAACAATAATCTGGTATTTTTAAGAACATTTTTTTTCTCCTTCTATTTCTCTGTCACTGCTCAACTAAAAAATTCAAGAATTATGGAGGCCAATAGAAGATTTACAATTGATTGATCTCGGAGAAGATTACTATATAATTAAATTCAAAAGAAAGGAAAATATGGATAAAGCTATACAACAGGGGCCTCGGTTCATCAATGGGCACTTCCTCTCTATTACAAGATGGAAACCAAATTTTGTAGCCACAATAGAGAGAGTAACTACATTGGCAGTATGGCTTAGACTCCCTCAATTGCCTACAGAATTTTACGATGGCAAAATTCCGAAAAAAAATTGGAAATGCATTTGGACGTCTATTAAAAATCGACGTTTGTACATCAACCACTTTAAGGGGCCGCTATGCAAAACTGTGTGTGGAGCTTCCGTTAGAAATCCCAGTCCAACCCTTTCTCTATGTTGGCCACCACAAACAATTCATCCATTATGAAGGAGAGGACTTTCTTTGTAAAAATTATGGACGACTGGGACACACATCAAGGCAATGTATTTATATTTCACATAATACCAAGGACAATGTGGAACCAACCATGGAGCAATCAACAACAACAAAGGTAGAAAACAATCAAGAAGAATGGAAAACAATGTCATTCAGCAAAGGAAGGCAACAAGGTGCAAGAGGTAACCAAAAACACAACAATGCAAATACAACCAAGAACTCCAAGGTATCTCAGTCAAATTGTTCAATGCCAACACTGGTAAGTATTTAGATACACAAATATTACAGTACAAATCCAAGGAACATAAGAATCCTACTTCTTCAATAGATAAAAATGGTGCAAAAAATACTGCCACCATGGTTGAAGAAAAAACCACTTTTCCCACAAAAAATAATTTTTTCCTTCTGAATGATGAGTAAATGGTTTTGGAAGAAACCACTAACGGGGAAAAAAATTAAAATGATAATACCAATAGTTGCCATGCAATTGAACAAATGTCCACACCTAATGGAGACATTGACATGTTGGAAAATAACGTGTCTTCTCCTAACAAAATCAAAAATCAAATTAGTAATATTGCCATGCAAAATAATCCACTAAATGACAAAACTACTCCACTAGTAAACATAATCAAAGGGTTACAAATGACCTAACTAACCGACAAATCAGTAATAAGCTACCCTTAACCAAAAATCTCAACCAAAATATTTCTTTAATATTTGGAAATCCTTCCACCCCTAAGCATGCCATCCAAAGGGCAAAGGAAGAAGACAACAATGGACAAATGTCCTCCAGCCTTGAGCACGCAATGGATACTACATCCATGGAAGATCTGCCTATAAAACCAAACATTGGGCACCCAAACGCCATGCAAAAGGCAGCCCCAATTATTACCCTATCAAACCATTCCCTCCCATACCACCAATAGCCCCTCTCCCACGCCTGACTTAGACCCATTAAGTACCCAACTCTCTATCCAACATGTCAAAAATACCTTCAACCTTGAGAAGAAGGCATATACTCCTTCAACTTCTACGCCAACACAGAACCCAATCCATGGAAAACCTTCCGTCACTACCCCGTCAACTAGAAAACCCACAGATCATTTACGTCCAACCACCACAAGCACAGGACTACCAACCTATGTCGTGGATGGAGATAGGGCCTGATGGGTCATGCCTTCTCGTTCAATATCCAAATAAATGGTCAGGATTCGATCATCATACTTCACGACATTCAGTACCTAGCCCAACTGGTAACGGAAGGCATGAGGTTGGCCATGAACAATTATCTCAATCAGGTTTGGCTCAACAATATCCTTCAACCCTTAGCTCCCTCAATGAACCACCAACTAGTGAATGCAATGAGAAACCAATGGAACTTGCCACCACACTTCAACCCAATCTACCCACGGAATGCTCTCCTAGACATGCCTTTCTTCCTGCCAGGGACATTAACCCAACTCAATCCCATATTCCTGCCATGGGAACAACCTCAGCCAGTCCAGGAGCCACCAGTTCCCCCACCTCACCAACAACCTCCACCACCACCCCACCACCAAGTCCAAGAAACAGAACCAGTAGAAGCAGAAATGGAGGAGGAGGAACCCCTCAATCTACTCTTAGAAAGAGTCCTAGAATTCTCAAATCTAGAAGGAGTAAAAGTGTTTCTCTTCACGGAGAGGAAAGAGAAGAGGCACGTGCTCAGTTGCCCACTAGCATTATACAAATGCTCGATGGACATAAGACCACCTCAGGATCTAACAGTGGGAAACAGAGCCATGATCCTAGTTCCATCATTGAGAAGGAACCCAGTCCTAGGGGTAGTGAGGCAGAATGGGGATCCGGCAAACTCAACTCTTAATATCTCAATGAATCGACCTACAAACTTCATTATTTGGAACATAAGGGGAGGGAACAATGATAATTTCAAAAGGAACTTCAGGGAAATGATAGATACCCACAGGCCTTGTATGGTAGCACTGTTAGAGTCTAGAATGGGAAACCACACGGATTTGCTTAATGATTTTGGGTTCACGGAGCTGATAGAGGTGCTAGCGGAAGGCCAAGCAGGAGGTATAGTGGTGTTATATAACCATGAAGTAGTGACTGTCCAACACTTTATCCGAAGGGATCAGAAAATCCATGCAACAATTGAGGTAACTCCTATACGTAAATCTTGGCTTTTTAGTGCTATTTATGGAAGTACTAATATGCTTAATAGAAATGTGATTTGGGAAAATCTTGAAAACATTAGTAGGACTTATAATGGACCATGGTTGGTAGAGGGAGATTTTAACGATATTTTGGGAACTAATGAAAAATTTGGTGGCAGATCTATTAACGACAATAGAGCTAAATTTCTTTGGGAAAAAATTAACAATTGCAACTTAATTGACCTTGGTTTTAAAGGTTGTAAATATACATGGTCCAAGCATAGACATAAAAATAAAGGTCTAATTATGGAAAGACTTGATAAAGTGTTAGGAAATGTGGAGCGGGTTAATCTATTCCCTAAAAGCTCGATTATCCACCTTCCTAAGACTTATTCGGATCATAACCCTATCCTAGTAGAATTGATCCCTAAAAATAATTCATTTCACAAACAACCCTTTAGACTTGAAACTTTCTGGTGTAAACATCTAAAATTCCAATCCTTAATCCAAAACAATTGGTATAACACTGATTACTTTAGGGCTAGCCAAAATTTCTTAGATAAAGTTAAGGTTTGGAAGGAAAAAACATTTGGTGATATAATGGGTAAAAAAAGAAAGCTTCTAGCTCGTCTTCAAGGAATTCAAAGCTCCAAACATTATACCTATAGTAGCTTCCTCCAAACCCTAGAAACTGATTTAAAAAGGGAATACAATGACTTGCTCAAAATTGAAGAGGATTATTGGAAGATAAGATCTAGGTTTATGTGGCTTAATGAGGGAGATGCCAACACAAAGTTCTTCCACATCTCAGCCTCTAATAGAAAAAGAAGAAACAATATAACTTCTTTATAGATGATGAGGGAAATTGGATCAATGAACCTCATCTAGTTATTTCTCATGTCCTTAATTATTTTACCAATACTTTCACAACCTCTCAATCCGAGACAAGCTGAATTAGTCCTCTAAAAAACAACTCTATTCATAACCTTTTAAACCTAAGTTCTCTTGACAACCCTTTGCTTGATATTGAAATCAAAAGGCTATTTTTTCCTTTAAACCTTTCAAAGCACCAGGTCTGGATGGTCTTCACCCCTTCTTTTTCAAAAAATACTGGGGAATTATAGGGCCCTCAGTTATAAATTTGTGTCATAACATTTTTAAAAATCAGGAGATCCCCAAAGACATTAACAGAACCTACTTTTGCTTAATACCAAAAATCCCTAAAGCCAATAACATTAGGAATTTTAGACCAATTGGCCTTTGCAATACCATTTACAAATTAATCACTAAAA